ATCAATTGTTAGAAATAATATTAATGATCAAATCATTAAGGATGAAATCAACTATAGGTCAACAAGCACGAGCAACAATGAGAGGCAGAAGAGACAAGAGGCAGAAGAGATGTGAGGCAGAGGTAGAGGTAGAGGTAGAGGAGAATTTTGATAATTAGGTTTTTAGTTTTACGTACTAATTTTCTTTTTAATATTTTTTAATTTATTAGGTTTGATTGGGTTTTAATAGATTACTCCGAACCCAACCCAATCCGACCTAAAATTTGATTTCCTAACCCAAACCCTACTCAATTGGACTAAAAAACAAATCCAAACCGGTTGGTTTGGATTGAGTTGATCGGTTTGACTGGTTAGGATTGGTTTTTTGTCCAGCCTTAAGCACAGTAGTGAATAATGACCCTTAATTTTTTATCCTTGTAAACCTGCCTACAATCCTGTATGGTTGTTAACAAACCTGTATTCTTTGAACGGTTCATAACTTGTCAAGAAACAAATTGAGAATTTAGAATAATTCATTATCTTGTTCTACTGTTATAAGTCGAATGGTCCCTGCACTTGTACTTATTTTGGTTGATTTATCATTTGATATATCAGGATTTTATAGACTGTTCCTGCTCGTGTGCCTACCCATTTTCTGACCATTACTCTCTTTTACAATGTGAAGAGCAGATGAGCACAGAAGAAGGATTATCTGAAACTACTGCACTAAGTGCAAGTATGCTCACCTTTCAGGGTCTAGTTTATGTTCTTGATGACAGTTGGATGTTATCAGGCCTGGGCCTTAATTATGGTCACGACGAAGAGGCCCTCAGGACAGCGGCAGTGTTGCATTTTAATGGGAATATGAAACCGTGGCTCGAGCTTGGCATTCCTAAATACAAAAGTTCTTGGAGGAAGTTTCTGAACCTACAAAATCAGTTCTTGAGTGATTGTAATGTAAATCCGTAGATGCCAGAACATCGTGTTTCAAAGATGCAACATATGGGATAGACAAAGCTGGAAGATGTTCTCTTATGTGCGCTGCTCAAAAGAATCTTTGTTCAAGCGGAGGTAATCATGGCAAGTACTAGCCATGATGAATTTGACATATATATCGAATTCTTGGGCGAGAAAAGAAGAAAAACTATTCTTTCTTACTTTCGGCAGGACCTGAGGGTAGGAGGGTTCTGGCAGTAGTGAAATTTGCTAGGATTGGAAAACGTTTTATGAAGTTAGACGTACCTTTCCGATGCATTTCGGAAACGCATCAAGGGTAGAGTTCACTTATACTAAATGGGGTCAAGTGATGACAGTAGACTTTTGTAGACATTTTTTTCATGATTACTTCAAGGATTAGTACAAGAACGTGAGGAGAAAATTTAATTGTTCAGTTCCCATAGATCTTTCTTTTTGTGGTATTGTTCTGTAGCATTTGAGACTTGTATGAGATTATTATTTTTTATTTCTTCCATCACTTTTTTCGTGGTTCCCCATGGGTTGGATCTATTGAATGAGATCCTGGATCGTATAAACGAATTTTCTCGCTTTCCATATTTGATTTCAATAATTCTCTGATGTTTCTACGCATTATCCACTCAGCAATTCACCAACAAATGGTCCCTATTCGAGTATCTTGGGATATCTATGATAACAATATATGATAATCGAAAGAACATATCTTGTGCAACTAAATGTTTAGTACGTAGCTTAAGAGAAGATCTACAAGTTTTGAATTGGACAAGAAAAGGCAATGGAAAATGAATATAATGAAAGAGGATAGGGGAATTCGTGTATATTTATACCGGTGAGGAAGTTATGAATACAAGCAATCGTGGTGAAGCAATCTATTTCCGCACAAGTCAAAACTATGCCAAAATTTCTTCCTATACTTTCTAATGACGGATCATAGTTTCTTCTGTTCGACTGCTGCATTTCCACTTCAGCAAACAAGCTGATCGAGCTTTAAGGCTTTTGTCCTGTGTGACGGTAGTCTATTCAATTCCGACGTGTCGAGGTGGAGGATCCAAACATCTGGTCAAGGAGGATGACTAAGGCCATGGCAAAAGCCAAATCAAATTCAGAATGGACAATAAGATGGAAAACGTCCATTCCAAAAGAAACTCCTCTCACGGCGGCCTCCTTCTGCTTTATCTCAGCCATTGGCCGCCGCTTTTCGTCATGCACCGCACAGCACCGCTTCGTGTACGATCCTTCAATCTTGTAAAGTACTTTGTTTCTATTTTGCGATAAAATTGTTTCTTTGCAGCTTCCTGGAGTCACTAGAGCCAGGGATTTACCACGCAGAAAATTCACCTGTTTTCTCACTGTGTAACTAGGATTAACCTCTTTCTCTCCTTCGAACACCAACCAGCTGTCCCCCAAGCTCAATCTCTGTCATTTTGCACTCAAAATTCATCAGAAATAAGTCTCAGAGAAATGAAATGAAACGAGACACGATATGTATATGGGTATACCTTGCGGAGGATGGTGAAAAGAGAGTTGCCGAAGGCGTCCATAAGAACAATTTTTCCTTTATCTCCGGCCATGTAATTGTCGACTCGAAAGACGAGGTTTCCCTTGGAGTCGAACACCGTGAAACCGTCGCAGTTAAAGAGGAGTGATTTCTTCCAGACGGTGAGGACCACCGAGGTGCTGGCATCGCCATCGCTGCTATTTAAAGGTTTTGGCGGCTGCGATGCGGTGGTGCTACGGGTGTTTGGGTGTACCTTTGTCATGATGCTTCGAGCAACGCTAGCTTGTGTTGTGGGATCTTCTTACTTAATTAGAGAGAGTTCAGAATATTTGCCTTTGCCGTCTCTATATATAAAGACGCACGCACGTGCACACGTGTGCCCTGCGCATATGTTTTAGGATGTATTTGTCTCTCATTATTGGAAAAAAAAATAGAGTAACGAATAGTATTTTTTGGAGAATATGTGGTTGAAATTTAAAATTAACTTTATTGGTTTATGTGTAGGATATTGCATTAGGTGAATGTGTGGTAGAGAATCTTACTGTACCAAATAATTTTTTGAAATAATTGTAGACAAACAGGGGCAAATTGGATGTTAGTTCGTCGATTTGGATGTCTTAAAAATTATCATTTTTAAGTTCAAGTATGGATTAAAATTAGATTTTTAGTAAATTTTGATAAAAAAATTGATGAAATGTGTGGTTGAAATGTTGTGGATCTCATAAAATATGTGGTTAATATTAATTGTTGACTTGAATTTAGATTAAAATCTGAATTTTAATTTCCACTAAGGTTAAACAATTAGAGGGTGTTTGGTGAAGATTAAAATTAGATTTTTAATAGATTGTGATAAAAGTTTTTGAAATGCGTGGTTGAAAAGATGTGGAACCCATGAAAGTGTGATTAATATTGATTATTTGACTTTGACTTAAATTAAAATAAGATTTTAATCCGGTCCAAACAGGCCCCTAATATAAGTATTTATAAATAGTTAAGCTTGTGAACCTCATTTTTTTCAAAATTTATTTTCAACCACGTATTCTCTTGTAAAATAATTTTACGCCTAAACCCAATTCTTTTTTCTATTTTCTAAACATACATTAAAGATTTTGTGTAAAGAGGGTATTTACAAGGGTCAAACAAGGACTAAGTATTTATAAATATACACACAATGAGAATGTTAAGTGACCAAATTATTACGGAATAAGATATGTTACGCTCTTGCCTACATGACAGGTTACACGGTTGTCGACTAAAGAAATTGTCGTGTTAGCGCTTTCTTTGAGCATGTCGTCTTCACTATCTTCCTTGGTCGAGGCGATTAGGTCACATCCTTGATGTCTTGTGCAAGTAATAACCTAATCGTTGAATCATATGTAATTTGATTGATGTGATATCTCCTTCATATCCGTTTGTGATAGAGTGGGGAAAGCCACAAGCCTGTGATGCATATAATGTGACATCACTGAGTTTGACACGTGAATCGTTGGAATGAGTTCACGTGTCAAGCATCCGAAGAACCTTAGCGACTTCTCCGTGCCTATAAATATTCACTCATTGCGTCATTTCCAAGGTATACATTTAATAATTTTCATTTAGAATTCTAAACCTAACTCCTCGTTCTTTCCCTTTTTTGTTTCTCCTACACCGTATGTTAATTGATTTGAATATCAGAGTGTGCATAACTCCCTCCTTATTTCCTTAAAGAAGTCTCGACCTTGTGTTTCTAACGTATGTATCCAAGCGTACAGATAACATATACATGAAGGAAAGAGTGAAGAAGAATTAAGATCTGTTGACAACGAAATATCATCCAAATTCGGAGGTCTACAAGATACTTCAAAGTAATTTCTTTTAGCCAAATCAATATATCATGTTTTATGGTTAATACATGTGAAATGTCAAGGTCCTTGAGCATGTAGTTGAAGTTATTAGCGTTCGGTATCAAAAATTATGTTTGAATCTTCATGTAATTGAATTACGAGTCGCTTTACTAATCAAGGGTTGAGCTTGGTGAGATTGAAGGAAGTTGCAGCTTTTTTATTAGAATGGACAAAATTCAGTTGACATATATAGTGCTTGTTTGGGAGGGATTTTTGGGGGAAGAATTGATTTTGAATAGTGATATGATGGGAAATGTGTGGTTGAAAAATAAGAAAAAATTATTGATTTGATGGAAAATATTATTTTATTGAAAAATGTA